TTTCTGAATGTCTAACTTAACCACGGCGTCAATGCAATCACAGTCCCTAGAGTCATGAAATATTAAAAACAAAGTGGATTACACATTTCGCGCCAAAATGCGCACGTGACTAGCCTGTTAAGATTTGACTATGCGCATTACTTCCCAAGTGACATTGTGCGTAAATTCCTAATACGACATGACTAGCGAGTGATCATGATGCTCGTCGAAAGCCGATGGGAAAAATAGAAGGCCCCTGGATGGATATTAGTAATTCGCCGAGTGTATATGTACTCTCACTGCTCGACGTTTACAGTAGTTCTCAAATGCAGAGACCGTGGTTTTATTAGTATTTTTCATTTATTGCGGCTGTTTTAAAAATTAAAATACGATGCCGCCTCGTGATATCATTTGGCCACGGTGTCAAAGGACTCTTAGTGATACAATTCCCAGATGATTTCCTATAAAATAACTGAATATAGCGTAGTGCATTCTGGAAATTTCCGATCACAAAAATATTTAGTATTAAAATGTTCCATCGTATATATTTGTTAAGATTAGACACCACGTATAATTACTTTCGTGATTGTTTGGAGTGATTTTCGATTACACGCACATATTCAACAGCAATGAAAAGCCTTTGTCTTCACAAAATAGAATGTTTCACATTCCGTGTGTTTGCTTGTAATATTAAGAGGATCAACGCCATGACGTGCATGACGTGACGTGCAAAAATACTTTCCTTGGAATATTATTCAAAATGTTTAAGGAAGTGCGTTACAGACACTCCCTAACTTATTGGACAGTCATGCATATGTTATTTAATAGCATGTAGTGCCCCTTTGAACTAAATGAAAAATAGTCTTTATTTTAGGCAAATAATTTGATTTCACTTTTTTTTTTCTATTCTTTTTTTTTTCTTCGACTACCAAGACAATTATTCGGCGTTATTGCACTGATCACGGGCGTAAGAACAAATTCATAAAAAAGAAAACATACATAATATGCTGACAAATAATAAAGGCTGACACGTGGAAGGCATCGAGACGACGTATAACTTGAAACTTACATCGAAATAGTATCGTACATACGGTATGTTGAATACTAATTAGCCCACAAAAAACGAAGGATTAATTTCGTGTCGGAAATGCTTAATGATGACTGGAGATTGATTATGAGCCCATATTTCCATCAAAGTAATTTGTTTCTATTAAACGAAATGTCTTATCTGTTTTTTACAAGATGAGATATGGCAAGGAATTGTGTGGATAATATAGTACGTATGAATATAAACTCTCATTCTACATTGTTGACAGAACAGAGAATTTCATCGGCGATTAGCTAGAATTACGCATAATTACAATAAATCGGGATGAAAACCAGTGTTTCCCTCTTTGTAATATCCATGACTTCCGCGTCGAGAATTCCGTTGCAATGATTATTTCTGACTGCAAGAATTTATGGAGAACACAGTGTCTGCACCGAGGACATCTTCAAGGTCGTGAACTCGATGTGTCTTCATGGTTTCTTGGACTGCATCCGCACATACTACATTCGGTGTTTTGCAATGATGTCAACATCATGTGGACATACGCGTCAGAAACGATGACACTCAGGGAGCACGCATGAGGACACGGTCAAGGTTATGCTTTAGATAGCGCTCATTGTCGGGGTGGTATAAATACTATAGAGGTTGAAATCGTTATCGATTTCCAATTGATTTAATTTCAGAATGGATAACTACTCTTTATAGCACTATGAGTTGAGCGCTTTTCATTACAGGCCTGCGATCGTCGTCTGAATCGATTCATGTCACCATGGAAACGGTCTTTCATCGAATACTATTTACATGCTTGCAAGAGAAACGTAGACTCTCCGAGGGATTTAATAGTCCCTGGTGATCGTATAGTAGCATTACGTAATATTGATGAATAATAACGGAAAGTCGCGTGACTTGCATAACAAAGTGCAGGCAAGGGTTACATTTGTGGAGAAGTTATTAGATATTCCAGGAAACACAATGCTGCTAGTGTGTACCTGGACAATACGAATATACCATCCCCCCTGGGTAGGGTTAAATTTTATACATTTAGCGTAGTATTTCACCTGGCTTACGGTTGCTACAAAGGAGTAACACTCCACAATGTTGTAAGTATAGGTAAACGACCAATCCATGTTGATCTGGCATAAAACAGTCAGCCACAAATTAGATAGGCGAGATGCAATTGTTGTTTTTTTGAAATAGGAAGCCCTATTGTGTTAGGGCCATCGAACGGGTGACTTTCTTTAACATGTAATCTAAATAAACTACACATAGTAACAAAAGCGACGTACACTGGTTCCGGTCGATAGTTTTTATTTTTCAGCCTTGTAACCGCATGATTTATTAGTTTATTTGAAGAACGGGTTCATTTAAACGTCGGGAAAACGCGTATTAAAAACGTGGGTATTGTATTTAAGCATGGAGCTCTTTTTTTTAGCTCCATGATTTAAGCAATATACATGTTACAGTTCGGGAAATGTACACACGTATGAGACCGCGCTGTCATGTTGGGGGTTACCTCCGAGGTGATACGTGGGAAACGTCAGCATGCTTAATGATAATGACAGTCTTTTCGGTATTTGCAAGGGACGACCCACACAGGGAGCGAACATTTTTTTTTATCTTATGGCGATATGGGATTCACACAATCATCATGTATTCGAGCCCCGGGATTCGAGCTCCACTTTACAAGGCATCGAAGGGCGGCGCCGGGGACAACGTATCGCAGGAAAACAGCTGCTGCGTGCCGGACCAGACGGGGTTATGTCGGTTCAAGGAGTTACACATATCTACAGGTCAAGTCGTGCATTTGACCTGTAACCACGAGAGCGTTTTTCATAGAAATTGACAAGTCACGTGACGATACTGTTTTCAGAACGCGTAGGCTAAATGATTGCGACTATGTGAAACTTGTGTTTCTGGAATAGCAAAACCACCTCATCCCCTCCAATTAATACACGGCACCAAGACTTTTAGTCATGTTGTACACTCCTTTTTATTATCAAATTTAATTTCTTTCTACTGGGACGTGACAAGTTTCCAATTCGTCCATTGCGAAAGTAGATGAATCAGTGTTCCTATTTTCCGGGATCCCTATTTATACAGCAGTGTCATGGTAACGACCGTTGCTAAGTCAGTAATTCGATTTTCATAGATTGACGAAATTATTATTATTTCTGAATAGTAATCTTGTTAAGCATAATTTTATTTATATCGATGGTCTTGTGCGGTTCGTTACATTACGATATCCGGGGTACGATATACTTTTATACAAGGAGTATCGACTTCAACAGGTTGTCGTAACCCGATGAAAATAGTACACACAAGTTAGTTGCACTGGCGTAAATGGTCACTAAGTGTTTGGAAGTCTGCCGCCCAAGAATACATGTCGGCGCAGAAAGTTCAATATAATTGTTTATTCTACTTCGTTGATGAATTTAGTCGCAACATTGTGACTATTTACCGCGTATCAACACGAGTGGTGAGCAAGTGACGCCAATCTCGGTCACTGGCGACCGACACGGAAATGACGCTTCAAACGTTTCGATGTAAAAACCATGTATCCTGAACGATTGGAAGCAAAAACGTTCGCTTTAAGAACACAATGCAAAATTCCTTCCTGTTCCAGTTTAGTGGCTTCCACAGCTCTTTGTTGCCATGAAAACATTGCTACTTATTTGAATATGAATGTACCATGGCCCAATTAATGATTCGCTATAGTTAGCCTGCTGTTGAATATTTCATTGGCTACTCTATCAAAGTCTCATTTCCGCCAAATTTATGTTGCTATGACGTCACCATGCCGAATCGACCGTTCATAATGAATGTTGAGTTTGGTTTACATAGTAGTGCAATCCGTGACTGGTAGTTCTCAGGGGAAGAAATCTCACGTCGGTATTATCGCGTACAATCACGGTACAATTATTTGAAACCTACGTCTAGGAAAACCAAACGTAGGGGTAACTGGGAAGGCCAGTCGATCCGGGAGTCGACAGGGTGGGTGTATATTTAAAATATATTGATACAAAACAGCTAACCACCATGGTGCAGTAATTGTTTTTTCGGGCTTTGCCTTTATAAATCCTATCTCTCACTGACATATTTATATTTACATAAAGCCAATATTACTGCGCACCTACGTGAATTCTTTTGCCAGGGTTAGGGGGGCTTAGACAGACGTATTTACCAAATTGAGTTCAGCTCTTGGTCTATGTCATTGTTTTTATATGTGTATACATTTTCTAATCCGAGTTTGGTGAAGCACAATATGGGATCAGTGTGCAAGCAGGCACTTGATGGATAATACAGATTATTCACTGTACTTGTTTTGTTTTGATATTTCTTTCGCAGAGATCATGCGACGACCCTTTGAAAAGCAATATAGGTTTTTTCACTTTGACACCCTCTGGTCATATTAAAAAAAATAAAAGCTTTCACGACAAATGATGAATTACATAATTCTAATTGGGTAATTCTAACACTGAATGTGCCCCAACAGCTAGATTCGTCTGCTGACTCATCCTCGATTTATATTAACTGGCAAAAACCATCCAAATACATCATCTGTTCAAATGGCGGAAGCGTCGACATTACAATATTTATACTTTTCGGGCGAGTTGAACGAGTAAACTTTTACTCTATGAATGATCATCTGGCACGAGGAACACATTAACGTTCATTTACAGAACCAACACGTAAATTTCCACCCCTACATTGCTACGACATAGTTGGATTTCACCCCCCCCCCAAATAATTTTCAACAGAGTTAAAATTGTGAGAGGGTGGGGTCAGCAAATTCAGTTAAAGACACAAAACATGCCAGACGAGAATGTAGACGCCACAATTGGCTAGGTAAACCTAACTCTGTAAAACGGCGGCTCTGAAAATCTCAACAAACTGCCAGTGCACTTTTCAGGGGGGGGGGGGGCATGGAGGGAGCAAACACATACACATATATAATTATATTTGAAAAAATAAGTCAAATTCTGACGTTTTTATTATTAACAATGAATAAGTGGCATAGTACCAACATATGCAATATTATATAGAATGTTTATATATATACACCTCAATGCATTTTATACACAGTATGTACAGACAAAAAAAGACGTTGCTCTACAAAAAAAAATCAAGATTTACAGGATTCTAATACTAGACTCTAGTAACGGATTTATATACGTCTAATTCAATCTAATCCAATGTGGTTTTCTGTTAAATGTAATATTATAAAATAGTGTAATAGGTCCCTTGGAGAGAAATGCATTCATTATTTGTAAAAAAGAATTTTGTAACCCAGTTTACAGACGTTACTATGGATACAGAACGATGTAGACCCAAAGAGTGGTCTACAATTAGGTATTTATGACGTCATTCAATATATTATTTTTTTTCAATTTTGTACTAATTCTGTATTAAAGCAACCAATTTTTAAAATTTACAACTCATAAAAATATATAAAATATCTTAGTCAATTTTGTACTCTTGAAATAGTTATTGCTCAGTCAATATTTTTAATTTTACTGTAATTTTTTCTCCAAATTTCATAGAAAAAAAAAATTGTAGCAACTTAAGGCTGATTTACACCATGGCAGTAATGTAATGATGAATTGGTCACGACAGTGTCTCTTTACTAAAGCAGAAAACAAAAACAAAACAAAAACAAATGGCAGCTTTTAGCCAACTCTGTTCACAAGCATTCACAAAATAATACAAGGTTCATGGAATGTGATTAAGCATATTCTAGGAAAGGCACGGCCATCTCGGTATTTCTTGTGCGATGTTCAGCTCTACAAGTCTCCTACAGTAACTCTCCGCGGACCTTAGCAACTGCATAGCAACGGAGCTATTGCGAGTTATTTAAACCTGGAAATAAGAAAAAATAGAACTCGTAAGTGATATGGCTGGAGAACAGACTGGTTTTGCGTGGAAATAATAGATATGGAATTAACATTTCATAAATCTTCATATTTGAAAACATTTTCGTAATTCAATTTTATTAAAATGCTGAGTGTACATTTAAATGTTTGCCAACTGAATGGGCATATTTACGTTAAATCCGTTAAAATTTGCCACTCTTATTCCATTACAATGGCGGGCCTTCCAAACACCTGTTTTGCATTTCGCACTCCAAATCGTTTTGAACAGATTCTGATAAAATAAAGTGAATAAAAACGACGCTTACCTCTGTTGCTTTTGGCGACAGACTCTCGTCGCTAAGATACAGTGTATTACAGCTGCTTGACATAGGATAGCCTTTTCTTGGACATGGATTTTCAAAGCAATCGCTATAATAAAAATGAAAAACAAAATATTAAAATTCAGTTTACATGTTGACATATACATGGATACGTGACGACACATGCGCCCCATTGATGGCTGGCCTTGTCAGCGAATTTAACACAATACGCAACACTATGGCATCGATGCGCTTTACAATAGGCTTTCCCCGCCGCTCGTAATGTTTTACATCGAAATGGTGAACTGATAGACATAGCTTCAAAATGACATTCACAACAAAAAACAGATTACTACTGGCTATAATTATATAAAATATACCAACTATTCTAATTTGTGTTTTAAAAGTAACTGATATTTTTAGTCGATTTTTCAAGCCAGGCATAAATGGGGAATTTTCCACTACAGTTTGCACTATGTTGTTTTAACGAGTATCTTGGTTACGAGTCACTGCGTCATAATGAGATTAAAATGGCGGCATATCCCAATGATGGTAACTGTTCACCACCTCTATAAATAGACTATATGACAAACTCACCTATTTTGTGGCGTTTTCTCTCCGTAGCTGCTGGTACAGTGCCTAACTGTATTGGTAATTTTATAATGAACAGAGTCCACTGAATCGGCCGCACAATGCACAATTTTTTCACAGTCTTTTAAATGATAGGGTTGCTCCAATTCTTTCCTCTTGGAGCTTTTATAGTCTTTTGCACTGCTACTAAAACTAGTACTGCTGACACAGTCTTCGCTATTCATAGGTTTTGCAACCCTCTGGTTACACTTCATCGATAGTTCTTGGCTGAACAGCTGTGCATTTTGCTGCAGGGCCTTCTCGGCCTTAAAGTCATTCTCAAACTCCTTTAATTTTTTAAGGTCTCTGTTCGTCTTTTTCAGACTGTTACTCTCCTCATTGCACACTTTAACACTTATGGAGGAAGGTGGCGAGATGTCAATCTCCTTGCTTTTCATCGCCTTTAAGTCGCGTTCACAAATGCGGTTGTTCATCTCTGGAGATTCCGAATCCTCCCTCTTGCTACTGTTCCTCCTCGTTCTCTGCCTGTAGACTAGACAAATAACGAACAGAATTATGGCAGGGACGATGATCGCGACGGCCGCTATTACCACAATCAGGTAGACCTCGGTGGGTGTTGAGGATCTGCTTTCCCCAGATTCTACAGCCACACCCTCAGTTGAAGCAAGAGTTGTCAGCGACATTACGGTGATGCTATGCTCTCCCACCCCGACGGCAGCATTTGCAGCAGTAGTAGTAGACACAGGTGCTGCGACAGTCACAGTGCTCGGTGAAACAGTTGTAGTAATAATTTCCTGATCTGAAGGAGTGGTGCGAATTTCATCAATTAAGACAGCCGTAGTGAGTAGTTCCTCCGAAGTTAACCTTTCGCAATCGCGTCCGTAGAATCCCTCAGAACAAGCACAGACGTATCCATTGATGTGATTGGCGCAAATACCTCCGTTGTGGCAGGGGTTACTTTGACAAAGATCTACGGCCACGGAGCAGTCCTTTCCAGTGAAACCAGCAGGACATTCACAGTGGAAGTTGTTAACCAAGTCAGAACAAGTACCTCCATTCGAACAGGGCAATAATAAGCACTCGTCAAAGTCATTCTCGCACAAATCTCCAATATATCCAGGAACGCAATCACAGTAGAAATTGTACGGTCCATTGTGGCATGTGGCTCCGTTCTGGCAAGGATCTGGATCGCAAAATTCTAACTGGTTTTCACAGGCAGTTCCTTCGAATCCAGGGGCACATTGGCAGATAAAACCAGATTGCTGATCAATAATACACGTGGCACCTATTCAGAGAAAAAAAAACAAATTATAAATAAATTGAAACTTTAAAAAAAAAAATAAGAATGCCCAATTTTGAACGAGTGTGTAGAAAATTGTTTCCCCCAAATCGGTTCTACATGCTCACAAGTGAATTTCCCAGGGTCCACTATAAATGGTTGCAAAAAATGAAATATCGGATCTGACAAGACTACGACAATTAGATACACATAGCACGTCTGGTTTCGTGCAGGATAACCTGAATAATGGCGATCTTATGATTTTTTTGTTAATGACCATTTTGACTTACCATTTTGACATGGCTCTGATGAGCAGTAGTCTATTTCTTGTTCGCATCTATGACCTGTGTATCCATCAGAGCACGTGCAGATGAAGTCCGCGCCGTTCTCAACACAAGTAGCTCCGTTTTGACAGGGGTGTTCACTGCAACTCTCTATCAGTATCTCGCAGTGGACACCAGTGAAGGCAGGTGGGCATTGGCATGCGTAGTTATTAATGAGATCCTGGAAAGGGACAACAAAACATGGTCAATATGAATAAATAATCGATGATACCTGACATCTCGACAGCGTTTCAATGTCAATGACATTTAAAAAATTATCGAGGGGGGGTCATGGCAACATCCGGGACATTGACCTCAGATTTTATCTTTCAAATAAACAAGCTGCTTCGTGGTTATTTTTTCACACGCATTGATAACGTATGTAAGACAATTAATCTGTATCGAAATCCAATTAAAACTGGTTGCACGTGTACATGTGATTTAAATGATCATGAAGCAATGTAAAAAAGCTTTCCTAACATTTCCAAAATGTAGTAGTTTTTTGTCAAATTGACAATCCCCACTGAATTGAAAATGAACGGTGATCATAATTAACTATACGAATCGACGTACCAGAAAATCAACTTATTTCTCAAAGAATAGATGTTTGTGGCGTAAATCTGCGATTGCTTATTAATTGTATTTTTTATACCAAGATGTGCAGGAAATGATACTGTAAAATGCGAGACTTACGTTGCATACACCTCCGTTTTGGCAAGGGTTATCAATACAATCGTCAATTTCTACTTCACAGTCAGTCCCCGTGAATCCAGGTGGACAGGTGCACGTGTACAGATTACCACCGGAATTTCCATTGCTACAAGTGCCTCCGTTTTTGCACGGTTTATGATGAGTACAAAACGCTAGATCTGAAGAAAAAGAAAGAAAAAACTGTCAGTGAATGCATTTATTACACGATTTGAACTCATCAATAAAAGATGCACATTGAAAAACGTTTTTCATTATAAAATTATTATAATACTTACCCTGGTTACATAGTTGTCCACCCCAGCCTTCATAGCAAATGCACACGTAAGGTTGAGTGCAATACCCGTGTTGACATCCGGGATACACAATGCACTCGTCACAGTACTCTCCTTCATAGCCAAACATGCATCTGGAATAGGTAAAAAAAAAAGTAAGAAAACTGCACCGATTTCATCTCAAGCCACGGAAGCTAACAAGGGTACTAGTATCTGTAAAGTATGCCATAAAATGCGAAGAATGTCAATTTGAAGTGCAGTGGCGGCATTTACGAGATAAGTATTTTTTTTAAATATGACTGGACTAGCTAGCTTTATTGCTGGAGCGGTATTCTAACGCGTGTATTTGGATGCAACACTTAAACCTCGTCAAGTGGTGTCGATATAAAAACTGTAAATATGTTGGGAGACTCCATTTCGATTTGATGGCATACATGCGATTACGACACTGGTGACAGAACGCATCCAACGAATGCTCAAATCAAAAGCAAATTGTGTTAAATATTTATATCCAAATTATCGCTATTCCAAATCGAGGTTAATTATTCATCACCGAAAATGAAAGCGCCGAATCTTGGGGCAGACTTTGCAAAGTTATCTTATTTCATTTTCTCTGACGTATTAACTCCAGATAACAGAATGGAAATTACTTGCAGACAAAATAATATAAAAAAAACAGGACGACGGAGGCATCACACTACAAAAAGGTTGACAGCACTCACTCTGGAGTCTACTTTGTAATGCTCCTCCATAAGCATCACGTATACATTTCACCTTACTACAATATTGGCGTATATTGCTAACCGAAGGACTGACCAAGATTGATGGGAAGGGGCTTCTAGTTTCCCAGTCGATTGAACTAACAATAAAGTGGTAACTTACGTGCATTCTCCGGGTGAATCGCAAGAACCATGTTGTTCGTGGCAGCCCTCCTTACATATTGCTGTGTAGAGAAAAAAAATCAGTTATTTTTTATTACTGGTGCGAAGTGTCAAGATCAAGGTCATTAAAATGCTAGTTTCACTAATATGATATGCTTGGTATAATGACTAAAAGTGTTACTATAGTCAACAGACTCGAATCTGTCTGGCGGCATTTCAACGCTTCCACATATCAGTGCGATTCTATAACACACGTGTTGATTGGGTCTCTTGTTCATGTCACTTGTTTGTAGCCGTGCGCAAGGTGTAAATAGGTGTTAATTCTCTTTTCTTTTCTAACCATCAATGTTGGGGAATGCTATTTGCAGCTGCGGCGTTTTACGCGGTGATTTTATTTGTATGGAAGATGCGACAGCTGTCACGCTGGTAACCCAACAATACCGAACCATCCTACTTTGCATGGCTAATGTATTCGGGCAGCTGCCGACGAACAAAAACGACCCGCGCGACCTGTATTTCAGTGAGGGTAATTTTAAAGCACGCGACGTAAATGCCCGATGGACCGAAATTTGCATAATTTTCGGATATCATTAAACTTGATATCTGGACTTCACCCTGCATTCATCCCCAATTCCATCACGCAGCCGAAATTTCGAGAACGACAGGCACGCGCGTCATACGAAATATGACAAGTAAACGGTAAACATGGTAGCGATGTTCTGGAATAAACCCAAATTTTGATATAAACCATATACAATGGTATTTGTGGGAGTGGCTAAGCGACGGCAAACACGAGCCGTCGTCTCACCTGCTTGCCTTATCTGCTGGGTTGAGTCCAGTGTAAAGACGACGCAGGCATGTTTTGGGGGGGTACGAATGGCCTACGAGTTACTAGGGGTTACGATACAGCGCAGCACCTGACGGCAGTTCATCAATGCATTACGAGTGGCCTGAATATCCCCCCCCCCACACCACTTCTCGTATGGTGGTTACAGCTTGCCACTGATGCAATTAATCATGACATGACCCACTCGACACTGCAATTTGCACGTGGGTATTAAAAGTCGGCCACGCAACTACTCTCGTCCAGTTAAAAATAGTCTAATATTGGTGCGCAAATTTTGTAGATTTCCGTAGAACTTCAAGGAAAACGTTTAAATATCGCTACAAGCACTGCTATAGTTTTGGAATTTGAGACTTGATGTGCGATGCTAACGAGACGTTGAAAACAACATGGCAGTTGACTTCGAAATACATGTGGAAATAAAGTCTAGACTTTCGAGTTGATAGAGGCGTACTTTTAAACTGGGCCGAGGCACGAGGCAAATAGACAAAGAGTTGACCCCGAGTTGTTTGTCATTATTATTGTAATGTGGCACGCGTCCTTTTCCTTATCCCTATCATTCAAGTATTTGCACGTGTGCCCCGATGCTTGTCCAAAATATCCTTCATAGTTAAAAAGACTAACAAAATGGGGTAAAAATAAAAGCTCCACTATCTGCGCGCTTCAACTTGCTTGCTGCCAATGATGTTACTAAAATCGAAACTAGAGTTTATTTCGCAATGAACTGATAAATATAAAAAAAAACAAGGCTAACAGTTTAAATTAAGGGCAGCTTGGAAATAAACAATTTTTTAGAATAACACAAATACATACTATGAAATCACAACATTAATTCCAAACAAAAAACAATAATAATAGTTAACAAATGTAGTTGAACTTTGGCGATCATGTTGTTATTTGTATTAAACACTCAAAAGTAATTAATTTATTTGTCCCCATTTAATCGAGTATTGCTTGAATATAAAATTGAGGAAATATTTCAATGATAATACTGTGATGAAATAATCCCCGAATAGTTTTATAGTGGCGTTCACAAAACTGGGATAGTCTAAATAAGGTAATTGACAGGTTGGCGGCAACAGATGCGGCCCACATATAATAATGTAACAGCGTATATGTAGTTTTATTAATGGTACCTTATATGATGTATAATAACCAAACATTTTATTATAGGCTAACCTTGTTGAAATTTTATACCAGTTTGTTGCCATAGCAACAAACACAAAAAGATTCGTTAATACACAAGTTTTCAAATCCAGGTTGGTTTTATTATTGTTACCATTAGTAATGAATTTTATACTAGTTCCCCCCCTCAATTTATGATTTTCGAGAATTTGCCATCATACAAGATCCAGGGACCTCTCGCCATGATCGTGCCCGATTATGGTGGTTGCGCATGTTCGCCCTATTGACCCTTGACCCAGCTGCTCAAGTCTGTTGTCCCATTTCGCGCCAAAAATTAAAAGCTTTTGAAAGACTCTTTAACGCCATGGCCGCGAATTTCCCTTAACCAAAAAAGAAGGACATGTACTTACGAACTGAACAATATTCTTCGACAGAATCGCCGCCCCATCCTGGCAAGCACACTTTATTTCCAAAGGCATCGCACGTATAATGGCCGAGATTATCATCGCGAGGTCTACAGAAATCGGAACATTCCTCACCAAAATAATGTTCATCGCAGACAATCCTGTACGAATAATGCAATTCTGAGTCTGTGTCTTCACTACTGTATACTTCTGTGTTCCATTCGAATCCCACTGCAGCAAAGCGTTGGGTTGCTAACCTTGCAATTAGGCTGCGGGGGCTCCCTAAAAATAGAAGGGGGGAAAAAAAGGTTAACTGACGTTGGTCAGCTGGACAGGTGGGAGTCCCGTCAGATAATTATTAGATCTTTATCTAAATTGTGATCGTCAATAATGGACAATGTTTAAACACCACTCGCCTCTCAGCTATACAGCTTTTTTTTTAAACGAGCTGTTTAAAAAAATATATATTTTTGGTAGAGTTCAAATCGGCAGGTGTGGGCCAAGTGGTCTGTAGCAATATCGGTATCACATTGCTGTAAACAATACTGATCATGCGCTGTTAATTGCGTTCTTGCATTCTTGTCGACTAGTGCATTTCTCAGTTGCCACACTATGTCGACGTAAAAATTCTCTAAGAAAAGCAATGGCATGACTTGTTGCAACTGAGCATTGCCCATATCACATTACACAAGTATGGTTGTTAGCTTTGTCTGCTAGGCTTTGAGTGAATCAAATGGCCCACGGCGAGCAGTTTAAGGTACAAGCCATGCTTTGATACCGTAGAGGTGTGGGGTACTTATAAGCAAGAAAAAAAATGGTACACTAATTTTTTTAATTGCACGTGCTACTGAAGCAGACTAACGTTTTCATAGTAGTCGCATTCCCCGACATACACTTTATTATGCATGAGAAATCACTAAGTCGATAGGTGTGAGAGCTAAGTTTGTAATCAGTGGTCTTCAAGTCGATGACACATCACATTTAAATGGTCCTAGTTTCAACATAAAACAGGGGGAATTCCGAATATAGAGAGAAATGAATTGATTAGGTCAAGCGAATGAATGGGCTTCAGTACCAAGAACCGACACTTGCAAAGGAATCCATCCTTAATTCTTCAGCATCCCGAAATAAGAATGTCGGCAGCTGTTGCCATGAGTGTTTCTCGTGAAAGGATTTTCAACGAGGTTTGCCCCAATTCAGAATCTTATTGTAAGTAGCCGCCGTAGAGATGTCTAATGTAAACGCAGGTCAACTCCATATAAAACAAATACGGAGGCCACATAATGTTTACTACGTTTGATCAGACTAGGTCTGATTCTTTTTTTGTTGTTGATGTCTCTGGACTGATGCATTCATGTCACGTCACCACACCGCATCACTGACCCTCGCTTAACCTCCCTGCGTTTGGGGAATGTGATCTGCGCCCTCGGACGATCCTTGGACGGAAGTTTTGATCGCAGAAAACCGAAACCTAAGCTCGGGCACTCGTTATCATCGATTAAGCTGGCAAGCGGAAGTTTTTGGTAACTAATCACTCTAGTTCGTACGTAAACAATTACAGACTTTCAGTTATGAACAGACCGCTGTCTGGTACCGAGAGACTCACAATCTACTCACACAGATTGACATTGTCCTGCATTTAACTAGATATTTATGATGCGAGATGTGCATTTAGTTAATTTACTAATGTCGACGACTACAATTTTTTAACAATGTTTCGTAATGTTTGTTTTAAAAAAAGTGGTACGTGTTTTAGTACAGTGTTCATATACGGAGACTTCAATAAGACAATGCCCACAATAGCTGTAATGTGACCAGCTAGTGATAAACACCAACGATCTCCAGTCCGCGAGTAGATTAACTACATGCAAATTAATTTAAACACGTGCAAAGACTAGCTTAATTTAGTCCCAGAATCTGTAAACTCAAAATAAAAATAAATACAACTTGCGAGGGGAGTGACCGCATAAGATAATGACACAGTATCCATTATGGGCGAATCCGTTAAGCGACGAACAGACACTTACCTGGGTATGGAAAACCATTGGGACCGACCTCCACGCTGTGAAATGCCTCAATGACGAGCGAAAAAGTACCCTGTAATGTTAATATGAAACGCAATATTAAAATTATGAAATTTCGTATCTGGAAGTAAA